GAACTCACGCCGGGCGCGTGTGCGTGCGTGCCCAAGATCCCGAGAGGAGAATGGAGGAGAAGGGATTGCGGTGTGGCCATCTCCTCTGGGGGATGATTTATTCCTTTCTGTCTCTCTGTCTCTCTGTCTTTCTGGTGAGCGCACGTGCCCTATAGCGAAAACCTCTCCAAAAGAAAAAAAAAAGTCCCTCTTTAAAAAGAATCATAAAATAAGTAACAATTTTTAGAAGTTTTCAAAGAATCTTTTATTTATTATTATCAGTATGTTTCAATTTGCTTTGGGGCATGTGCACTTCCCAGAGAGAGAGACAGAGATAGAGAGAAAGTAAGAAAGCAAGCCGCCAGGTCTGGGACTTGAACTGCGGTCAGCCATGTGGGAATCCAGTGCCTGCCGGCCTACTAATTATTCTTTTTTTAAAAAAAAAAATCTGGGAAATGCTGTATCCGTATGAAGCCAGGCCTTCTAAAAGGTGCCAGGGCCTGGCTTGCTCTCTGTCCAGGTTCCTGTCTGCGACAAACACAGTTGCCCGAGATCTAAGAAACGCAGACACTGGGGACTCCCAGGGTGCAGCGTGGGGGAGCTCCAGGGAGCAGGGCTCAGCTGCCACACTAGCTGGAGCCCAGCGGGGGATGCAGGGGGCTGTCGGGCCACCGCCTCCTGCAGCAACTTGGCAAGGTGGCCGGTGTCCTTCTTGTCCCCAGGAGTCTCTGTACTCGTTCGCGCTGAAATGCCTTATCAGCCTGTCCACCATTATCCTGCTAGGTCTCGTCGTCCTCTACCACGCCCGGGAGATCCAGGTCAGTGCGTGGCCATGGGGGGGGAGGGGGCAGCTCTTTCCCAGCACCCCAGAATGCCCCATCCTCGCCCCCCAAATGTTAAAGGACCCACAGGCTTCCTGTAAAAAAAATTAATAAGGGGACCAGCAGTTAGCGTCATGGCTATGTCGCTGGACTCCCACGTAGTCGACGGCGGTTCGCGTCTTGGATCCGGTGGCTTAAAACTCACACCGGGCGGGTGTGCGTGCGTGCCCAAGGTCCCGAGAGGAGAATGGAGGAGAAAGGATTGCGGCGTGGCCATCCCCCCTGGGGGGTGGTTTCTCGCTTTCTGTCTCTCTGTCTCTCTCTGTCTATCTGGTGAGCACATGCGCCCTATAGCAAAAAAAAAAAAAACCTCTCAAAAAACAAAACAAAACCCTAAAAGGGACCAGCAGTTAGTGTAATGGCTATGTCGCTGGACTCCCATGTAGTTGACCACGGTTCACGTCCCAGACCCAGTGGCTTAAAATTTACACCAGGCGCGTGTGCCTGCGTGCCCAAAATCCCGAGAGGAGAATGGAGGAGAAGGGATTGAGGCGTGGCCATCTTCCCTGGGGGATTTCTCACTTTCTGTCTCTCTGTCTCTCTCTCTCTCTGTCTCTCTCTCTCTCTCTCTCTCTGTCTGGCGAGCGCATGCACCCTATAGCAAAAACCTCTCCAAAAAAAGAAAAAAAATACAAACCCTAAAACCAAAAAGAAATGTGACCAATATTAAGAATGATTTTGCATCAGAGGGTTTTGTATGAGAGGTGGCATTGTGGACTCCTAGGGGTGGGGTTTCAGGCTGGGGCGCTGTCCCGTATGTGTCGGGGCACCTGGGGGCGTGCCCCGAGCACCTGGGGGCGTGTCCCAGGGCACCTGGGGGCGTGTCCGAGCCCCACGGCTGCCCCTCCCTCCTCCGCAGCTATTCATGGTGGACAACGGGGCGGACGACTGGCGCATCGCCATGACCTGCGAGCGCGTGTTCCTCATCTCGCTGGAGCTGGCGGTGTGCGCCATCCACCCGGTGCCCGGCCACTACCGCTTCACGTGGACGGCGCGGCTGGCCTTCACGTACGCGCCGTCGGTGGCCGAGGCCGACGTGGACGTGCTGCTGTCCATCCCCATGTTCCTGCGTCTCTACCTGCTGGGCCGGGTCATGCTGTTACACAGCAAGATCTTCACCGACGCCTCCAGCCGCAGCATCGGGGCCCTCAACAAGATCACCTTCAACACGCGCTTCGTCATGAAGACCCTCATGACCATCTGCCCCGGCACGGTGCTCCTGGTCTTCAGCATTTCTTCCTGGATCATCGCCGCCTGGACCGTGCGCGTCTGCGAGAGGTGCGTCTCCCCCACCCCGAGCTGCTCCCGCAGGCTCGGGCTGCAGAACTGGGTGGGGGCAGCTCAGGGGACACCCACATTTCTCATCTTAAGACTCCAAGGAGGGGGACCAGCAGTTAGCATAGTGGCTATGTCACTGGACTCCCATGTGGCCGACCACGGTTCGAATCCTGGACCTGGTGGCTTAAACTCACGCCGGGCACGTGTGCGTGCATGCCCAAGATCCCGAGAGGAGAATGGAGGAGAAGGGATTGCGGCGTGGCCATTCCCCCTGGGGGTGATTTCTCGCTTTCTGTCTCTCTGTCTCTGTCTGTCTGGCGAGCGCACGTGCCCTATAGC